AGAGAAGAGGTGAAGTCATTTCTCCCACTCATTCTTTGCTTCCGGTAGCATTTCCCCATTTTCCAGCCTGCAGCCCTGGCCTTAGGCTCTAGTAAGCTCCCTCTTCCCTCTATGTCTCCTCGCTAGGGGTGGGAACAGCACCGTTATTGCTCATCTCTGAGTTTTTTCACTTTTCCTCTTTAGGTTTTCCCAACACCTTTGTTATTAATTCTCTGTATTAAATTCTCTCTATTGAACCATCTGATTTGGCCATTTTTTTGATTGAACCCTAATTTAAATCATGCATCTCTACTGTGCCATCTTCCTTATGAACCTCTCTTCACTGTCTAGCTGAAAAGCATTTTTCTTTCCTTTCCCTTTTTTTTTTTCCTGAGAAAGATTTGCCCTAAGCTAACACCTGTTGCCAATTTTCCTCTATTTTGTTTCTGGGTTACTGCCAGGGCATGACTGCCAATGAGTGGTGTAGGTCTGCTTCCAAGTATGGAACCCAGGCTGCCAAAACAAAGCACGCCAAACTTGAGCACTAGGCCATGGGGCCGGCCCCTCTTTTCTTTTCTTTTTTAAAAATCCCCTAGAATTTTAAAAATATCTGTTATTCCAGCTATCATATTTTTCTCATAATATAACACTATTACAATGTCCACTAATTTTGAAACAAAGAAAGGATAATCTCGGAAATTGAAGAGGTGATTGACAATTATAAGTCCTTATTTTAGTTCTCTTTATGAATCCCAAGCCATTTGTTCAGTGTGGTGCTCTTGTCTTGCTCCCTACTACTAGCTGTAACCTCTTTGGGGCCATAGTCATATTTGGGCTTCTTTCTCACAGCATCTGGAAGAGAACTTTGTACGTGGCATTTTTTTACTGAGTTTGATGTAGACATTAATCACTTGGTATGCATATTTTTCATTTTCATTTCATTTTCCAATTATTCTTTGCTAACATACAGAAATAAAATTAATTTTTACATTGCCTTTTTGTCCTGTGAACTTGCTAAGTTCACTTATTTGTCCTAATATTTTTTGTAGCTTCTTTAGTGTTGTCTACATATGCTATCATGTCATCTGCAAGTAAAGATGTACTTCTTTCCAATGTGGATGCCTTTTCTTTCTTTCTATTTGGCTTACTGCAAGGGCTGGGACCTCCAGTACCCTGCTGAAATGTTGAATGTACTCTAAAATTGCCTTGCCTTGTTCTCGACTTTAGGGAGAACATGTTCAGTCTTTCATCACTAAGTATGATGTTAGCTGTAGGTTTTTTGTACATGTTCTTTATCAGGTTGAGTTCTATTCCTTGTTTGCTAGGAGTTTTTATTATGAATAGGGGCTGAATTTTGTCAAATGCTTTTTCTACATCTTTTGAAGTGATCATATGGTTTTTCTCCTTTTTTCTATTAATATAGTGAATTTCATTGATTGTTTTTCAATTTAAATCATATTTCTCATCCTAAGTTGTCAAATTGACTTTTTGTTATAATAGCCGTTTGTGTGTTTTGTCTTTGAGAACTGATCCTACAGTTTTCAGACATGTAGATCTGAAATGTCAGAGAGGTAACAGCAACCTCGAAGCTTTTCTTGAGCATTATTTTATCTCTCCCACTACTGTATTCAGAAATACAGACATGATTGAGGTAGTGCACAAGGGCCAATAGCATAGAGTAATGTTTCTTTATGTGTGATTCAGGAACTGTTTGAAACAGAATTACTTGTGGAGCTTGGTAAGATTGTAGATCAATGTGCCCCACATCATACTTCATTCATACTCTGAGAGCAGTGCCCTGGAATCAGCACGTTAAACAACCTTCACAGCTATCATTCATACTAACTTTAGAGAACCACTGCTACAAAGGTAATTATGTTTGTATGTGTGGGTTTGTGTGGGTGGTGCACAGCATCTCTTTTCTGCTATTTGGTATGAAATAGATATTATTATGCTGATTTTACAGATGTGAAAACTGATGTTCAGTAAGGTTAAAAAACTCACTTGAGTTCGTTCAGCTAGTAAGTGGTAGAGCCAAATTTTGAACCCACGTCAGAGCCTGATGTCAAACAATAGAATAGACTGCTTCCTGGGCATTCATAGTTCATGTTACAAATAATTTTGCCTGAATTATCTGTAAGAGTTTCTCAATCATTTGGTTTGCTTTATGTTTGGGAAGTTTTTTTATCCTCACTTAAGTGATCAGTGCTGTAACTTATTTTCTAAAAGCAATTGTTTCTCTTTGATCCGTAAATTTTGATTTAAAGATTCATGTTTAGAAAAACTAGCAAAGCAATGAATTCTCTAAAGGAAGACTCTTTTGGTTCTTTTCAAATGTCTTGTTAACAATCCTATGATACCAAAAGAGTTGAAAATTATATGAAAAAAATAAACAATTACTACTAAAAACTCTTTCTCAAACTACAGACTAATTTTACCTTCTAATACAAGGCAAAAATTTTTATGGTAAAAAATTCAAAATAAAATATTAGCAGCTAGGATCCGATAGCATATGAAAAGAAGAACTTACCACAATCAAGAAAAATTTATTCCATAACTATAGAAATAATTTATTAATAAAGGTCATCATTTTAATAGGAAAAATTAAAGGAAAAATATTATTATTTCTGTAAAACAAGAGAGCTTTTAATAAAAATCAACATTCATTCCAATGTCTAATTCTTAAAAAATTGGTAAAATAGGAATAAATGGAGACGTCCTTAACATGAATCAAGCATCTCTTTCAAACCAACAGTCAATACTATGCTTAACAGTAAAACTCTAAAAACATTCTTATAAAGCCAAGAACCACACTAGGTATCTGCTAAGATAGTTTTGATATCAGAATATCGCCACTGGTATTTCTTATATTCTGGAATTTTTAGTTAAGGTAATTAGACATCAAAGTTAAATACTTCTCAAAAAAGAGGAAAGAAGATAATTTTGTGTAAGTAATATGAGTGTACTACTGAAAACAGAAATTATTTAACAGAAAAACTATTAAAAATAATTTTTGTAAAGGCGAGTTAAGGTGTCTGGTTTAAAAATAAACAAAAATAATTTTGTGACATAGCAAAAGCAATGATTTAAAATATATCAAGGGAAACTATCCTAATGACAATGGAAACCAAAATACAAAACATCTAGGAATTAGTAAAAATGCAAGAACTGTATGTACCAACTTTTTCAAAAACATAAACGAAAATAATCTCCCAACTTATTCTATGATTTTAATGCAAACTCTATCAAAATCTCCATAGTTGACAAGGCAGGTTCAGGATGATGACATTTTAAATCAGTAGGGAAAAGGTGCACTTTTTATTATTGATTAAGTGCTATTTAGAATATTGGTTAGCCATTCAGAAAATATACAGTTAAATCCCTACCTCACACCTTACACCAAAGTAAAGTTGAGGTAGATTAAAATTTAATTGTGAGCGGCTGGCCCGGTGGCATTGTGGTTAAGTTTGCATGCTCTGCTTTGGTGGGCCAGGGTTCACCGGTTCAGATCCCGGGTGCAGACCTATGCACCACTTATCAAGCCATGCTGTGACGGCATCCCACATAGAAGAACTATCAGGACTTACAACTAGGATATACAACTATGTACTGGGGCTTTGGGGAGAAAAAAAAGGAAGACTGGCAACAGATCTTAGCTCAGGGCCAATCTTTCTCACCAAAAACAAACAAAAAAGAAAATTTAAATGTGAAAAAGGAAACCAGAAAAGCAGTGGGGAAAATACGGTGATAAATAACTACAAAATCTGGAGTGAAATTTTGAGTATCTTTATTTTTCTATTTATGTTTTCTGTTTTTTCCCTAGAGTGATTATGTATGAAAAAAGTGATTGTGTAATACAAGAAGTTTTTTCCTATGTAGAACACTTAGTCCAAGAAGAAATTATAAGCGAAGGGAAGTGATTCTCTTTTTCTTCAGTCCAAGGAAAGCTAGGCTTGGTTTGTTCTGAAATATTGGATAATATTTTCTGTCTTTATTTAATCTTTTACTCACATAATTTTTTCTATGTTGTGATGGATGAAATAGTCATACATTCTTCCCTTCCTAGTATAAGGCACGATGTCTCTCAGAGAGAGTGTTCGTTGATGACAATAGGAAGTTGGCATGCTGTAAATACAACCAGAATAGTCACATCCATTCTGATGCTAAAAAGGAGCCAATGAAGCAATTCTCTTCCTAAAAAGCTATTATTTCTTAGTAGAAATTGCTTTAATTATATTGTAAAATGTATGTACATTCATTAACAAACATCACAAAAATTCTCTCTTTACTATTTACCGACTACAGGCTGCTAGTTATTTTCATTAGCTGTTTGAATACTAGGATGAAACAAAGAGCATTATTTATTGCTATCTTCACTCGAAGATTTAATACTTTATGAAATGCAACTCATTCTTTATTTTACTACAAGAAATGAAATGTATTTTACATATTTCCCCACACCAAATGATTTCCTCTTTTTCTTCCTTTTTTTGGTTTTTGGTTTTCTATTTTCTTAATAAGAAAGGCAAGTTTCCCACCCAAACCCGGAAATTAGTGGTAGAGAAATAACAAAAGGAAAAATCCCCAAGCCATATAATGAAAACCGGGGAGTGCAGGCTGGGTGTGGGTGTTGTGGGGGATGGGGAGGGATGGGTAGATGACCAGCCATCCAGGACAAAGTGGAGTTATGGGAGGTGTTGAAGTTGGCCAGCATCCTGAGGTCATCCTCGCAGCATGTTGGTCTTCTTTGGGTCTTCACCAGCAGGATGGCACGGAACCTTCAAGACAAGAGCTGGTAAACTGTGGCATGTTCTTGGCACCCGTGACCAGCTCCTATGTTTATTGTTTGTCTTTTCTGCTGACATCCAGCACTTTATTAGCGAGGAGCCTTGGTCCGGGAGAGAGGAGCCTGGGATGGACACCCAGTGCCCATCTCCGGGGATTTTCCTGGACCTCAGGCATTTGCTCCATGCAGGTTTAGAGGAAACAGCGTCACGGATGAAATCCCCAGAGGGGGCGCCCTAGGCACAGCTGGGCCCCTGGGACAGCAGGACTTCCACGTCGGGCTCCATGTCGAAGGTCAGACAGTGGCGGCTGTATCTGCGCACAGGCACGCGGTCCGGGCCCACTAGGAACTTCTCGAAGTTCCCGATGATGTTGATGCGGCACACTGGGGACCAAGTGATGAACTTGGGGTCGGTCATGAGCGCAGCGGCGTCATCACCAGCACGGGCTGAGCCTCCTGCAGGAAGGCGAAGAGCTGTGTGCAGCGCGCCATTCACCTTGAACTCAAAGAGCGTGAAATTGGGCTTGAACCCGCCTCCGGGTCGGACGTACTTGAGGCAATTTAGGATCTCTTCGTTCTTCGATTCCCAAGCTCGTTGCACCGGAAGCTGAGCACTATATGGTTCAGAATAATTTAGGGGGACTTGCTAAAAATGTGGACCAGTCGCATCCTTATTCACTCCAAAGTTTGACTGCCACTCAAGACCTTTCTTTTCTAAATGCCTGTAGAAATTCACAGCTGATTACACCCATTTTAGTATTTTATTTTACCAGTTTTTGTTGTTACTTGTTTGATGTGTGTGTGAGGTCCCTCTAGTTTTGTTCTACACTTACATTGCCTGAATATTTCAAAGCTGAGGTAAATCCAAAATTAAAAAAAAAGTTCTACACCTCTAGTATATTCTTGAATTTAAAAAAGTATGGAAAATACTGACTAGTGGTAATTAGGGGCTCAGATCAAGTCTGTATTGTATTAAAGAATAATTCCTACATATAACTGGAAATAAAACTTAGAATAAATGTTGAGCAAAACTTTTGGTTATATAGGTAAATATATAAAAAGTCTTCCTACTAATAAGACTTCTTTTTGCCCAGATATTAAACTAACCATGAAGAAAAATATTATCAATACACAGCATTCTTTTGTAAATATTCCCAATGTGATTGTACCAGATATTGAAAAGGAAATAAGAAGGATGGAAAATGGAGCATGCAGGTAAATCCATGGATTTTTTCATCCGTTTTTTAATACCAGCCACAGTTCTTAAATTTAACTAGATTTAATTTCAGTTTAACTTTTAATTTGTAGCTTTGAACTTTGTAATTTACTTAATTTAGTGAATTTGTTTATACTTTGGAACAGCATAACTTATCTAACAAAATGAACATAGATATTATTGTGGGTATTATTTAGAAGCACCTATGCCAAACACTTCCTTAGTCGCTGGCAAGACCTTTCCTCATGGGACATTTCAAATCCTAAAGGGATAACATTGCCGTCGATAAATGTGAAAAAAAAATAGAGTGTGAAACGTTGACATGTTTTAAAAGTATAAAGTGGTTACCCTATAAATGAATAGAATGTGTATAAATGTGGTTGAACTTATTTTATGTTATTACAAGTTAGTTCATACAACTGTACGATATGACCTAAAGCACAGATAGCATACTTTCCGCTTGATAAATATTAACATTAACTAATGTATCAAACAAATGAAATATGGAAGACCTAGAAAGTAGTTCCTTAATTACATGCATTTTACTGAATTATGCATATACTCTATCTAATACTGTGTATTCTGTACAGTTCTCATTTCACTCTAATTAAAAATTGTTACATGCGTTAGTTTGAGGGGGAAGCAGAAGAGATGAGGCAACAGTCCTCCTAAGGAGAAATGTTCCTCTGCAACAGTTTCAAACATTGATCTAATTCATCTCTCCCTCCTATTGGACCACAGCTCCTTTTCCGATGATGATGACAGTGCCTCTATGTTTGAAGAATCAGAGAACGAAAACCCCCCTGCAGGGGATTCCTTTAGAAAGAATTCACACAGTAGGGGACAACCATCACAGAGGTGAGCAGTATGATCTATCCCTCCATATCTGTTTTTAAACTATTATTTAGATGAGAGAAAGGTATTCTATTCCTCTATTTAGTGGGCTTGGCAATTGCTCCTGCTACCTGGCCACTATGCAGGGTCTTGGGAGTAACTTGCTACACCTGTTGGAAATTGCCACTGCCTGATGCTCCTTCATGGCCATGGGGCTCCAAGTCATGAACACTCTTGCTGAACATTTTCCCTGAGACCCTTGTCTGTCCCTTAAGAAACTCATGCCCCAGTCCTCTCTGCTTTCCTCCTTTCTGATCCTTCTTCCAGGGTCCTGAAGCAATTGTGTGTGAGAGGAGTGGGCTGTCATTCTCTAAAATGCTCCATGCCACCTGACCCTACTTTCAGGGAAGTAGAGCACTGGAGTGAGTAGCTAGAAGAGGAAAGCTAAACATCCTTAGCAGGAAATAAAGAGTCACGGAAACTTCAGACATGGGACTCTAAGGGTGTGGAAGTTGTGTGGTGTTGGTGTGGATCAGTGATTCCCATCCTATGGAAAAATTTACTTTTTCTCCTCCTATTTCTCTTCTCACTGACCGCCAGCTTGTCCATTGTTTTTATTAGTCTTTTTCTCCCTTCCTGTCTTCCCTGACAATCTAAATCTTAGGTTTCTTGCTGAGAGTTAGTAGCATCCAAGTTGGATCACTCAGCGCCAAGAAGGATGTGAATTCTTGGTGTGGACGTTGGTCAATAGGGGTTTACTAATCCCTTTGGTTCATGGCACTGATAATCAGCAACTCATGTTTCAGGAAGGCTGTATATTTTCAAAAGTTGTCTAGGCAATCATTAGTAATGAGTAGAAACTGGAAAGAGTTTGTTCTTTAAGACTATTTGCTTACCATGGACATTATACAGATGGTGACTATTATGATTTCACTGTACTTTTTCATTTCCCAGGGAGCAGTACCTGCCTGGTGCCATTGCACTTTTCAATGTTAACAACAGCAGCAATAAGGACCAGTAAGTATATTTACAATAGAAAACCATAGCTTTGTTTTTAAAGAAAACCAGTGAAAAGGTAGGAACATATTTGAATCTGTTATAGAGCAGATATTTATTAGATAAATTCTATCTAATAAAATGGCAATGATATTGTATTATTTTTTGTTTGGTTATTTATTTCTGAAAAATGTAGCTACCCATATTAAAAGTAGTATTTATTTATTCATATATTTGAATACATGTAGAAAATCCATGTCTATGGTGTACATGCAATTGCCCCTCCTTGTGGATAGGGTGGCTGATAAAAATAAATGAAACATTGTTAATCCTTTCCATTCAGAACCAATGTGTCTAAGGTCAAGTTTCCCAGGAGACAGTCCCTGAGATGGAGGTTTGTGTGCAGAGGTTTATTGGGAGTGCTCTCAGGAACAGTACCTAGAAGGGAGTTGGGGAGCAGGAATGGGCAGAGGGAAAAGTTGAACTTCAGAGACTAGAGAGGGTTGGGATGCCATGTGATGCCATGGGGAGCTCTGGAGCAGAGTTGGTCCTTCAGAGTTGTCCCACAGTTAGGCAACAGGACTGGGCCTGCGCCCATGCACATCATTGGATGAGGGCTGCACCTAGGAAGGGGAGTATAACTTTGAGCACGGTAGCTTCCTCCAGCCAAGGCCAGCCAAGGGAGATGGAAACTGTGAGCTGTCAGCAACCAACACTCTTGGCGGGTGGGGAATGAGTGCCTGAGTCGTGTGCACAACTGCATCCATATAGCATAGCTCTTGCACTGCTAAGATCCACTTTCTTCCTATAGAAAATTCACGCCATTTGGGACTCCCTCCTCCAGGACGCTTGTTGTTTTTTCCTGGGGAAGCTTATAAGAGGAAGGTTAACGGGATCAATTAAAGTCCCTGACAGCTGCAGCTAGTCTTGAGGCTTCAACTGAAATTCCTCACCCCCTCCTTTCCTACTCATTCTAGAGTCCTCTCACCCTTGGCTGGCACTTCTGCTGGTCTAGATGACTTCCCTGGTAGAATGAGTGATACAGACCCTCATCCCTGAAGGATATGAGGCCCTGCTTACCATGCCCTTCTCGAATCATAGCTATTGTACTTACTATTTACTACTAAAACTGGGCTAGGGAATACCAAAAGACACCACAGTGGGTCACCTGGGTGCCAAATATATTTTCCTTCCCCGCATTGTGTAACAGCGGCACTATCTACTTCTGATGATCTACATCCATTACTTTTGCCATTATGATGACTGCCTTCCTTGCTGATTGGTTTTGTGGCATGAGGGGCTCAAAGTGGCTGGGGAGTGGTCATAGCTTAATGTTTAATTGGGCTCTATGTTCCCTGGCAGAAGTGTGACCCCTCTGGAAACCAGGATCTCTAGATGGGAAGCTTAAAGCTTAAAGCTGCAGGCATGGGACGCATACATTCTCCCTGTGGGTCACTCCTACTTAGACTCCTTGGTTCCCAGGCCTATGCATTCTATATAGGTCTAGAGCATAAAGGGTCATTGATTTAGCATATATACAGTATCCTGGAGGATGGCACCTCGTCTTCCTTGGGTATCAAATCCAAGACAGCACCTCAGCTGTGCCTTCAAAAGGTCACTCCATAACTCTATCAGGTCAGCAGCTTCTGAGTGGTACAGCATATGATAAGGCCATTGGATCCTGCAGTCAGTATCCAATGCCACATCTCTTTGGCTGCAAAGTGAGTCCCTTGGTCCAAAGTGAAGTTGTGCAGTTTTCTGTGTTAGTGCATCACACTATATAAGCTCCTGGATAGTAGCACTGGTCAAAGCCCTGTGGCAAAAATAGCAAATTAGTACCCACAATATATATTGATTCAAATCAAGATATTTGATGCTTCTTCCATGGTGGAAGGGATCCAATGTAATTAACTTGCCATCAAGTGACTGACTGCTTTCCTCAAGTAATGATGCTATATTGAAGTCATAGCATTGGTCTCTATAATTGGTAGGCTCGACATTCAGCAACAGCAGCTAGATCACCTTGGTGAATGGGAACCCATGTCTTAGGTGCATTTATAGCCTCCATCTCTGCCACCATGGTTGCTCCATTAATACCTACATTGTGCAAGCATTAGGGATGCTGATGACAGAAACTGGCTCTGTCAGCTGGTTGAGTCATTCTGTCTACTTGGTTGTTTTGTGCCTTCTCCATGGTGCATGGTATTGGATGAGCATTAACATGGAATACAAATATTTTCAAATTTTGTGCTCATGCCCATAAGTCCACTCAGTCTGCCTATTCTCCAGATCTATTTTTCCTGATCTTTCAGTCTCTTTCCTCCAGGTCCCTGACAAACCAGCCAAGGTTTTGGGACTACCTACAAGTCCTTATATATTCTTAATTTCGGCCATTTCTTTTTCCACATAAAGTAGATGACGTGAACTGCTTGAAGCTGTGACGTTGGGAAGATTAACCTCACCCCTGTCTTTGAAGGCTACTTCTAAGTATGGCTATGGTGTAAACATAGCCCATTTTGGCTTGCATCCAGATGCCAAGCTGACCCATCTGTAGACCATGCTCCAACAGTTGTTCCTAAAAGACCCCACATATGGCCATAGGTGGGAATTGAGGGATAGGTGCTGATGCAGCAGTGGTAGATGACATGGAGAGAGAGTGCTGAGCCACCTGTTTAGGCAGCTTACTAATGCCCTCTGGTTCATGCT